TCAAAGAATTTTAAAAAAATTCTCTCAATTTCTTCTATGTCTTCCACCGCTTTATTCTTCTCATCCTTGATTTGTCTAACCAATTTACCATTTTTCATGGCAGTGGCATAAGCATGAAAAAACCTTTTATTGGTATCACCCTCCTCATTCCAATTAGCCTTAGCTCTTTGGTTCCACCACATAGAAATTCTAAGCAATGTAACATTGAGCTCCCTCACCTTACTTCGTAAAAGAGTGAGGTTATCTGGACTTAGGTCATCCTCCTCTTCCTCCTGCAGCTGTAAATTAGAATATCTTTCTTCAATTCTTCTTTTAACAGATTCAAATTTTTACAAGTGTTCTTATTCCAGAAAAAAGAGATTTTAGGGATCTCTTTATCTTCCTATTTAGAACATCAGCTTCATCTCCATAATCATGTTTTCCCCAGGCATTTTCTACAATATTCCAAGTGGCTGGATAGGATTTACAGGTGTCCTCAAATCTGAAAATTTTGGTTTGAACCCAAATAGTATCTTCAAGGTAAAAAGCTATGGGACAGTGATCAGAACAAATCCTTGTAAGGTGCCTAATTGATGCTGATGGGACAAGCTGGAGAGCTAGGGAATTCAGCAGACAGCGGTCCAAACGTTCCCAAATCCTAACAGTTCCGTGCTTATTGTTACACCAAGTATATCTAGGACCAATCACTCCTAGATCATGAAGATCTTGATTAGCCATGAAAAACTTCATCTCCTTTGGCCCATTAGTCATACAAAAATGCTTACCACCTCTTTTATCTTCTTTGGAAAGAAGACAATTGAAGTCCCCTCCCACTATTGTAGGAATATTGTCAGACAAAAGATCATCCAGACGGCTCCAAAGATCTATTCTACCTTGAAAATATTTATGTCCATAGACCATCGCCACATTCCAAATACCCTTATTGGGAGTATTCAAAGCACCGAAGACAAGTTGAGGAGAATAGGCAATCACTGTAAATGCAGCCATATTACTTTTCCACAAAATCAAAATACCACTAGAAATGCCATCTGTTGGGTGGTGAAAAAAGTCCCAATCCGTGCCAATAACTCTATTGACATCCTTTCTAGTGATCAAAGCCATCTTAGTTTCAGCTAGGCCAAAAAAAAAAAAAAAAAACGGAATTGTCTTTCACTACTTCTTTAAGGTAGAGGGAGGACTCCTTTTTCTTGATCCCTCTACAATTCCAAAAAATGAGTGAAGACATTTATTTAATGGAAGGGGAAAAGTCCCCGCCTTTTTTCTTACCTTTTCCTTCAACTTTTCTTTTCCTAGACCATGGTTCAATAGGACCCAGGAACTTCAATTGTGGCTTATTTTTTTGCTTGGCTGAAATAGGGATCTCCAGATTGGAGAGTTCTGATTTTGGTATGTCAGCTATCTCAGAAGGAACGTCTTGAGTAATTGTAGACCTGGTTTCAGTGACCATACAAGAATCTGTAATAAGAGTATCAGTATTTTCAAAAGAATTAATACTGTTATGAAGAGATTTAGAACTTGCTTTAGCTTCTACAGTTTTATCAACTGTAAGGTCTAAAATAACAGAATCTGCGTTGACTAAATCAGAATCAACATCATCCAACTGGTTAGAGATTTCATTAAGAGCATTAAAGCTGTTCGACAGATTTATGTCCTCAGCTGGGGTAGACTTCAAATTTTGTACTCCTTTTAGCGGACTAACCACTTTCTTGGTACCATCAGAAGAATCCTTAACTGGGAAATCTGGAGCACGAGTATCTGAAGTATTGGCTTCCTTCTTCCAGGGACCCAGACGATTCCTAATTTGATTAGGCCTTTTTTAAATTTGACGTGAATCCACGGCGCGTACTCCTCCTGATGATCAAGATGAGAAACATCTTGAATGACTTTATCATGCAAATTAGAGTTGTGCCCAACCGGTTCGGCCATACGGATATCTGGACAATTAGATTTCAAATGCGCAATTTTTGCACAGCTGAAGCAGAACAAAGTAAGCTTCTCATATTCAATTTTCTGAAAGAATCTGCCACACAAACCGTCGACCCAAACTCCAGCATGAAGCTTTGACTCTAGATTGATGCAGACAAAAATACGCGCATATTCCTTTTTGCTCCAGCTAAAGGAATTGCCATCAAAGAACAAAGGCGTTCCAATTCTTGATGCAATCAAAGCAATGTTTACCTCATCCCAACAATGCAAAGGGAGTTGAGGAAAACGAATCCAAACAGGAGCAAAAAGACCTTTAAGGGATAATAGAGAGAAAGAAGGAGACCATTGGTCCAAACCGACGATATTACCACCAATATACCACGGCCCTCCGCTAAGAACATCCTCCAAGGCTACAGAGGACTTAAACGAACAAAGTATCCAATTTAATCCCAACGAAGTTAAATGAAAGTTGCCATATATGCTCCATTGTTTTTGTAACTCAATGCTGCACACTGAAAAGGGGATACTCTTACCCAAAATCTTCAGCACAATTGAGTTAGTAAGAATCTTTGTGTTAGCCTGTTCTTGATCTGAGTTCAATTTTACCGCCACCCCATCAGAGGACAAATCGGTGGAACTGGCATCAAATATAATTTTGATGCGTTGAGGTTTTCTCCAAGCATTAAGAAAGGAATCTTTTGGTTTATCAATTTCATCATCAAATTTAGTATCTAATGGAATAGTATTGTCCTAGAAAACAGGAACGCCTTCAGGATTCAACGCCTCATTAAAAAATCTTCTATTAAGGATTCCTTCATTGACTTCAATCGTATTATTTTCTTTAGAAATTGGATTCAACGAATCAAAAATTCCTTGTTCTAGAGATCCGTAAGTTAACCCATTAGAAACAGGGCCATCGACTTGGAGAATATCATTGTTAGAGGTTGATGAATCAACCACATTCTTGCCCTTACCTTCAGTAGAAGGAATCAATTTATCATATAGAGCAATAGAGCCAAAACCTTCTATGATGATCAAAGGTTTAACTCCAGTTCTTGAACTCAAAAGACCATTATTACGCAGATTGAAAGAATGCGAGGAAGAAGGAGAGCCTGATCGGTCAGACATAAGATGATGATCAACCGGATGAAGGAGGTCCTGGGGATCCGACGGCGGACGGCCAGAAGCCACCATGATCGGAAGCAAGAAACCCGCGAAATCTGAGATTCAAACTTTCTCTCACTAGAAAGAAAACTAGAGCTTCTCTCTCTAATGTTATCAGAGCATACATGGGGTTAGTTCAAATTGATTATAAAATAAAAAAAAATATTAATGATGATAATTGAAATTGACCCAATCAAATGTGAGATTTAACTCTTTTGGCCCAACATGATTTGATTTGTATTTGCGGGCTGCTTGGTTTGAAGTAAAGTGGATGTAAAGTATTCTTTCGTAGGATTTTGGAAAATAGTGGTGCTTGGTTGGATAAAAAGGCCATGCTATTTAAAGTGTTCAAGATATTTTTTAAGAAAAAGTAAACTCGTCCAATTTTGAATAAAAACCATTTTCACCACAACTAAGTTACCTTGTCACCACCCCCCACTAACCATTAGCCACTACTACCTAACACCCTCATCATCAGTCGCTGCCGCTTGCGGCTGACCACCACAACCATCATTGCCTCTTACTCTCGTAAATCGTTGTTGCCCTCTTCCAACTACCCTCATCCACCGACCACTACCACCTTTGTCGCCACTAGCCATTGCCACTTGACAATGGCCACCACACCCACAACTGGAGAGGCCACCATCACCGCCAGTGACTAATTGGCTCTGACCACTACAATTGTCTTTGGCCACTGCAATCTCCATTGACCACACACAATTATCAGTCGGCAATAATCATCATCTTTAGACTTTACATTGCATTCATTTGCTTCAAGCCAAACAATATAGTAATCTCATGCATTCATTTTACACTAATCCAAACAACTCTAAACATTTCAAATATGACAAATTCCTTTTACACTACATTCCTTTTACTCTGCACTGAATAACATCTTAAGCACTTTTAATTCAAATTGATTTATTTTGACATAAATTGAATGCTATAAATTTAAGATGATAACATTGATTTAAATTTAAGGTCAGTTCAAATATGTTTGATTTCTGTAACCTTTAAGTCTAAATCAACTTAAATCAGTTAAGACTTATCTAAAATCTACAATAAATTACAAATTTTAAAATATTTCAATTTCAATTTGTTCTTTGTTTCCCACATCAACTATTTACCTCACATTTGAAGGGAGACAAGTCAAAATGTGTCATTTCTTAGGAATAAATTACGAAAAAAAAAATTATGTCAATGTATTTTTTTTGTAGAAGACATTAACACGAGCTTTAAATTAATTTAATTTAGGCTAAAATTAGTGTAATTAAATATATTATATACACTGCTAATTAATTAATAACGAAAAAAGTGTAACACAAAAATTTGATTAATATATAATCAACCTATATGACACAATTAAAAAATAAAAAAAAAAAAAAAAAAACCTATATGACACATTTTGTAATTACGTTAGTTTTTTTTAATTAATTGAGGATGATAAAATAATTAAAATGTTTATTCTATTAAAAAACTTTCAATATTGGGTGAATCTCCGTCCTGAGCTCTTTCTATTAAAATGTTTATTCTGCTAAAAGTGTTATTGTTTTCATATTTTTTATATTAAGCTGTTTGAAAATAAAATTGATAATTGCATGGGTTTAAGTTTATAAAAAAATTATGATAAATCTTAAGAATAAAAAATCCAAAATAATAGTGCCTATTAATAATAATCATTGAACAATGATCAGCGTAAATAATTACAAAAGTCAAGTATCATTAACGCATTATTTTTTTCATAGAGCATATTTTAATTAGCGCATGAGCGATGACACCACTTGTAATCTTATATATATATAAACAATCCAATGAGTTCTTAAAGGTATATTTAAAATTTATTGAATATATTTATGGGCTTGTCACGTGCAAAGAGCTCTCCCTTCTAATTATAATGCACGCCGTTACAGGTGTTTGTGCTATGCTTGTTGGCCGGGCTAAGCATATGCTGGTTCAACACAATATGCTTCGTTCTCTGCATCCGAAACTTCACCACAGACCGCTCCCTCGCCTTGTCTCTCACCGTCAGCTTCAACGGTATCAGCGCCTCCTTATACAGCCTCGCCGCCAACTCCATCAATGGCTCTCCTTCATCCTACCTAATCCTCAACGCTGTCCTCCCCTTCCTCACCGCTCTTTTTGCTCTCAACCTCATCCTCCGCCAACCGCCTCCCCAATCCCCACACGCCTCCTCCGATCGTCAAATCTTCCTCGTCCTACATACCGTCGCCTTCCTCACCGGCGTTTACCTCCTCCTCCTCAACCCCGCCTCCCCAAACCCATTCACCTCCCGGCTAATCCTTGCCGGCGCAGCGATCCTCCTAGCCTTACCGCTAGTCGTTGTTGCGAGAGAATGGGCTAGTCTCTCTATTTTCTCCTGGCTGGAAGGCTCCAATGATTACGACTTGCAGAAGGAGCTGATTGTTGTAGAGGTCGTAGATGAGGACGATGAGAGCACCACCAGTCCACGGGACATTGACGGCTCCAATGGGTGGCTGTGCTGCTTCAACGAGGTGATGACCAAAGACAGAATAACTAAGCTTGGGGAGGAGCACGGGGCGAGGAGACTTATCCGCCGGTTGGATTTCTGGCTCTACTACATTTCTTATTTCTGCGGCGGCACTGTTGGTCTTGTGTACAGCAACAACCTGGGTCAGATCGCCCAGTCGCTGGGGCGGCAGTCGGAGACCACATTTCTCGTGAACGTCTACTCCTCCTGCTCCTTCTTCGGCCGCCTCATCTCCGCTGCGCCTGACTTTTTGGCTGGGTTCGCATCATATTATAGAATTTAAGCATCTACATTTTCTTTTCGACTTTTCAGTCAGTTAAAATAAATCACACGCATATCAGAAATATAAATTTTGAATCTAAAATTACTTAGTTCATAATTAAAACTCATAACAAACAGATTATGATGAACTCCATAGCATCTACATATTCATAAAAACAAACTTATTATGTTCACCTCAAACGGAAGCTTTACCTATAGAATAGCTGCCATATTAAGTTCTAGGTTTAGTGGATCAAGAGCAATTCTAATCAAACAATAAGATTATTTAGGATTCATTTGAAACAACGTTTTTTAATATTTATTAAAATAATTTTTTAGTTTAAAAATTTTGAGTTCAAAATATATTTGTGCTAAAAAATTACTTTAAAAAATAATAAGAAAGCTCTCTCAAATGAAGTACTCTTAGGCTTCGTTTGGAACAGTTTTTTTACTGCTTCTTAAAACGGCTTTCTACTAAAAAATTAAAATTAAAAAAACTGTCCCAAACGAAACCTCAGTCTTCGTTTGGTACATATTACTTATTACTTCTTAATGTAATTTTTCAATGAAAAAATTAAAATTTTTGTACTAAATATTTTAAGAAGCTGCAAAAAAGCGGCCCCAAATGAAATCTTAGGCTTCGTTTTGGATGACTTTCTTACTACTTCTTAAAGTAACTTTTTATTATTAAAATTTTAATTTTAATTTTATACTAAAACAGTTTTCACGAGTACTAAGAAAGTCTTGGACGAAACCGTAGTTTAAAGAAAAGATTTATGATCGAGTCACCCAACATTTTTTTGGGGTGGCCAATAAACCATTTGCTTGTCAAAACATTTTTTTGGGTCGATTATGAAAGGTTTTTATCAATTGGAATATCACATTTCGCCACATTGGAAGTGGCAAAGCTCCCGCGGGGTACAAAGAGTTGTTATATAAAAATACCCTTTTGTTTGTTACTTTTTGATAAAAAAGAATAATGATATCAAAACTGTCTAAATATTAACAGTTTATTATATATTAATATATAAAGTTTACATTTAACACATTTTTACATCTGTCATATATGGTAACTATTTTATCTTTTATTATATAAAATTTTTATTAAACATGTTGAAAAAAAAAGGAGAATAGAGATGATTTGGATTTAGTTCGAGGCAACTTTTTTAATGTTTCTTAATGTAAGTTTTTTACCGAATTTTAAAAAAAAAAAAAAACAAGAAAAAAATAATCCCAAATGAAAATTTAATTTAAATTAATTGCAGAAATATTAGTCCTTTGTAAACAATAATAACTAATCTTCAAAGTATTATTTGTTTTAGTTAAGAAAAATTATTTCTAAAGATTATCTTAAAATAATAATCAGGCCAAGTTCATAAATCTTAATAGCTGTTGTCTTCATTTCTTAAAACTGATTAAAAATAAGACAAGAATTAGTTATTCTTATCTATAAAATACATTAAAATGTGATACATTATTAATAAAGCTTTAACATAAATGTCATTTCCAAGAAAAAAAATCCTACATGGTGCTTAATTTAATTCAAAATAAATGAATAACCTTATAATTTACTCAAAAAAGATGATTAATAATAAAACCTTAAAATTTATTTTTTGGGACATTTAGGCCATTTAAGGCAAACTCACACACACAACGCATACATATGGACTCGAACCTTGGATCTCTTAGTTGGAAGCCTAAGCTCTCAACCAATTGGCCAAGGGGAGTTGTGTAAACCTTATAATTTACTCAACCAGCTTTCCGCTTCATTTCATACTTGCCAAATTGGCATTAACGCAAACATCTTTCCGACATACAGGAAAATAAGCTTCGCCAGAACCGGCTGGCTAGCTGCGGCCCTTGTGCCGATGCCGCTGGTCTTCTACATCATGGCTAAGACAGAAGATGGGCAGGCTCTTGTCGCTGGAACAGCGCTGATTGGTCTGAGCTCCGGATTCATCTTCGCGGCGGCCGTCTCCGTGACGTCGGAACTCTTCGGGCCTTCAAGCTTTGCAGTGAACCACAATATCGTCATAACTAACATTCCTTTGGGTTCCCTCCTCTACGGATTGCTCGCCGCACTGGTATACGACGCCAACGGCAGCGTTGGGATGAAGCGGATATGCGAGGCCTTCGCGACGCTGCTGCGGGACGGCATGGTGGTTTGCATGGGTCCCCGGTGCTATGGGAAGACATTTCTCGCGTGGGGATGCACTTCGGTGCTCGGTCTCACTTGCAGTGTTGCGCTTTACTTGAGGACTAGGGGGGCTTACCGATGCGCGGCTGAGAATGGTGGCCGGAGGTTTGTGCGGACCTGTTTCGGTGGTATCTGGTAAATTTATATATTTATTTCCAGATCTCAGGAAATCATGATGAACAAAACAACAGTAAGCCTAGCAGGCTACGTGGGTCGGCTAGGTGTTTGAAGAAGGGAAAAAAAAATGTGTTGGTGAAAAAAAACCTATTAATACATGTTTTAAAGTCTTTACTACCTAAAATTGGCTGTATAATTCAAAATAATACAAACACGATACTAATATTTATATAAATCCAAAAACATCAACGTTCATATATATTATTGACTTTTAATGATTCTCAGAAGAAATTGCAAATCTATTCTGAAGTAATATCTGCGTACCTCTTACGAAGTAAACATTTCAGGTTGTGCTTGATGTCGTGACGAACACCTACCTGTTTACTTCTAATTTAACTTGTTAAGAAGAAGATTAAGGTGAAAACAATGCGGCACTTCATAAACAACATGTGTTAAGTTTCTAGGAATATTAATAGTATCTCTTACTTAGTTAAATTTTTAAGGTGATAAATGATTTCATTGAAATCAAGTGTTACTTGAGACTTGTCGCTCGTATGGACATTAGTGGCTTCTATTTTAAAATTATTTAAGCTTCAACAACAGATTAGTTCGATGAAACTGATGTGTTTAGATAGGTTCTTTTATAGATTTTTTTTTTTTTGAAATTGCCAATAGCATTTAAAAAGAAGAAACTATTACAAACTACTAGGTGATAGCTATACTATCATAATCTTCCTTAAGTAAAGAAAGAAAACAAGGAGGAATCTTATTACAATGAAGATCATCCCATAAAAAATCACCCAATAAAGCTAAGTTAGCACAAAAATCGGCTAACTTATTACATTTTTTATTGGAGAAATGAAATAAAAAATTCTCAAAATCATTCAAAAAAGAGAAGTCCACCAAATTATTATCCAATAGATTGCAAGCTTTATCAGCCGAATTTTGAAGAAATTTGATCACATTAAAATTTTCCCCTTCAATAATAATACCTTTGACATCAAACCTCCAATCTTGAAGAACGACCTTCAAAGCATGGAATGCCAATAGCTCCAAAAGTCCAATATCCGAATGAATACATTTAAATCCAAAAGAATGCAAAAATCTCCCCTTATGATATCTGAAAACACCAGCAATTCCAGTTTCATTTGTCTTTAGAAGAGCCGCATCAATGTTGACTTTGATCCATTCGGGTGGAGGAGGGTGACAAAAAGATGTGGACAGCTTAGAAAGTTGTTTAGCACCCTAGTGGTCCAAATAGAAACTACAACTTGATGAAGAAAGAGCAATGCTGATTGCTCTTGACGCAGTGTAAACAACACCGGCCTCTTGTCCACCACATAGAACATTATTCCTATTCCTCCAAGAAAAATATACAATTGAGCAATAAAGATTAGCAATAAATGGATTGTATTTAGCTAAAAGCTTCAACTTTTCTTTACAATCCGAAACAGAAGAAAATTTTGGTACTTTGAATCCCCACTTATTGAGAACTTCAATCAATTGAATGAGCTTATCACAGAAAATCGTGACATGCTCTGTATCCTCCACCATAGAACAGCCCCTTGGACACCTGTTACAATCCAATAATCTTCTGTACATTAAGAATTAAAATGTAGGAATTGCATTACTTAGAATTCTCCACCAAAAACATTCCACACGAGGAGAAAGCTTCATTAATTTTAGCCATTTCCACTGTCCGCCTATAGCTGAATTCAGGACATCAAACTTGGAAGCCATAGCTGCAATGGACTTCCCAGAAAACCTGTACATAAGTTCCATATGATCAACAATAGCATCATGCTCAATTTGAACCTGGAGTATAAGCTCAACCAGATCATTCCCAAAAAAATTATCCAGCTCACTACGAATCCACTCACCTTCTTTAATAAACTTATCAAGAGAAGGAAAATCTTCCTCCAAAACTATGATGAAAGTAGGCCATCTTGCAAAACTCTTATCAAGAAGCCAAACATCTTCTAAAATATTAATGAAACCTCATGCGGCCACCATACATCTAACCAAAGGCCAAAGAGCTTGAGCACCTTTCAACAAAATTTTCGAAGTGGAAGAGCGTTTTTTCCTACACTCATCATTCCAAATATTGTTTCCATATTTAGCTCTTAATGATCCATTGAGCAGAGATCCAGGTTTAGTGATAAAGTTCCAGGCAAACTTTGATCTTAATGGACCAGCAACAACAACTGCCGAATGAATCCCCCTACCTCCTTCCTCCAACGGTTTACAAAGGATTTCCCATGCCACATAATGAAAGCCTTGAACATTTCCAAGTTTGTTCCATAAAAATTCTCTACACATCTTTTCTATACTTTTTAAGATGCTTTGAGGAACAAGAGAGTGAGAAACATAGAATACCGGAATAGCTAGCATCTCCGATTTAATCAAAACTATTTTCCCATCCAAGGAAAAAAAATTGTTCCCCCAAACATTCATTTTACTAGCTACTTTCTCAAGAATATAAAGATAATCATTAGAAACCAACCTCGTTAAGCAAATTTTAATACCCAAATACTTCAACTCATTGACCTCCTTATACTTCAAAAGTTTTGAAATTGTTTTCCTCTTTGCCGGCCAATTGACTTTACAAAGATCAAAGAAGATTTATTTAAATTAATTGATTGACCAGTCCATTTGCAATAATCAGAAATTATCCTTCTTATCTTTCGTTCATACCCGATTTTAGCTTCAGAAAACATCAAAACATAATCCGCATACAAGAGGTGAGAAATTTTAGGAGCAGAGGCGACTACTTTAATACCCAACTCTTTACCAATATGATTAAAACTATTAGATAAAAGTTAGGAACACAACATAAATAAATATGGCGATAACAGGCACCCTTGTCAAAAACCGCTTTTTGCTTCAATCCAATTTGAATTTTTACTCTTGATAATGATAGAGAATTTTGAAACACATTCCATCAAAAGATTTGAAAAATCAAAAGGAAAACCAAAAAAATCCAACACCCACTTCAAAGTAGGCCAAGCCATATTATCATAAGCTTATTCAATGTCAATTTTAATGGACACCAAAACTTTTTTTGACTTAGAAAATTTGAATTTATTAAAATGTTATTGCACAAGAAGAACATGTTCATATTAAGTTCTCCCTTTTAAAAAAGCCACTTGAGTTTCAGAAATAATTTTATCAACCACTATCATCAATCTATTTAATAAAATTTTTGCAACAATTTTATAAATAGACAAGCATAAACTGATGGGACGGAAATGAGAAGGATCTATCGGATTTTGAATCTTCGGAATATGTACCACCAATGTCTCTTTCCAACTTGAGCACATTTTCTCTGAAGATAAGAATTTCATAATCGCCTTCCAAACATCTTGCCCAATTATTTTCCAGTATGCCTTAATAAAAGAATAAGAAATGCAATCCATCCCAGGAGAGATATTCCTCCCTAGATTCATAATTACCTTTTCAACTACTTCAAAGGAGAATTCTGCATCCAGGAACATAGAATCTTCATAGCTTACTGCATTAATAGGCCTTGGCCAACCCGATAGCTCACACTTCCTTACTTTCCATTTCTTATGAAAGAACTGAAAGAAAATTCTTTCAATACTTTCTTGATTTTCCACTAATTCACCATCTTCATTCTTCACTTTTTTAATCAAATTTCCATTCCTCCTCCCATTAGCAAATGCATGAAAAAACTTTGAGTTAATGTCACTTTCCTCCAACCATTTGACCTTCACCCTTTTTCTCCACCAGGTGTTTAAACATGCCAAAGTCATGTTTAATTCCTGCACTTTAGCTCTAAGAAATAAAAGGCAATTTTTTTGGGAAAGAAACATCATTCACCTTCTCGGTTTGAAGCTCAGCCACTTCCCTTTTAAATTCTTCTTTCAGCTCAAATAAATTTTGAAGTTTTTCTTTGCTCCAAAAGAATAAAGCCATTAACACTCTATGAAATTTTTTATTCAGAATGTCCATAGGTTCACCACTAATGGACTTATTCCAAGATTTCTGCATCACAACAATCAAAGCCGGATAAGATATCCATACATCTTCTTAGAATAAACCTCATAATTTTTGAATTATGAATAAAATTTTTAAAATTCTTCATCACTATGGGACAATGATCAGAGGCCACCCGTACCAAATGCCTATTAACCACCTAAGGAGCAAATTCTAAAGTCTAGTTTTTCCCAAATGCGAGCATTTTTTTCTTTATTGTTACACCAAGTATACTTAGGTCCAATTATACCTACGTCATGAAAATCAAAGTCATTCATGAAAGATTTCAACTCTTGAGGAGCAAGAGAAAATTGAAATTTCTTTCATCCTCTTTTATCTTCTTGAGCTAGGATACAATTGAAATCTCCCCCAACTACCGAAGGGATATACAATGAAGAATGCAAGCCCAAGCACTCCCAAAGCTTCCTTCTACTATACAAATCTCTGCTCCCATAAATAATAGAAACTAACCAAAATCCCTTATTAACAATCTTCAACTCCCCAACAACACACTGACTTGAAGCTTCAAACAATGAAAAAGAAGCAAGATCCGGTCTCCATAATACCACAATCCCTCCAGACATCCCATCAGAAGGAAACAGAAAGAAATCCCAACTTTTGCTCATAAACATACCAAAATCACATTTATCCATATTAGAAATCTTGGTTTGATCAACAATACCCACAAAAACTACATCCCAATCTTTAACCACCTCCTTTAAGTATAGAGAGTCTTCTCTCTTATTACCCCCCTACAATTCCAAAATGCAATTGAACTCATTTTCCACCAAGGGGGAAGGACCCCCACTCCTTTTCTTACTCAAACCTTCTAGTTTTTTAAGTCTAGAAGAAGAGTTCAATGGCCCCAAAAATCTTTGTTCTTTTTGAAGTTTGTGCTTTGATTTTCCCATACAATCCAATATTTTACCTTCAGTAGCCAACAATACCCCATTACATTCCTCTTCACCTACATCAGCTCCAGATTCAGAAAATGCCACATTATCTCCAAATTGTTACAGGAATTCACCTTCTTCAATTTCATGTTCAGTATCTCGAAACTGTTCAGCAATGCCTTTTTCACCATCCTCCCCATCAAGACCATTTAACACATCAAATTTGTTA